CCCCCCCCCCCCCCGGACATGTGACATGCCCTGTGCTGCACCTCCCAATGTTCTCAGAAGGACCCGTTCACCCATTGTGGGATGTCACCCCATAATACAAGCCGACCATCGGTGGTGTATAAGGTCCTCCAATCGTGTCATTGGACAGATCGGGCCCCATGTGACCCTATCACGCTGCGAGGACATTCACTTACCCAGGCGACGGCCATGATCCCAACAGCGAACAGACTGGGCCCCAACAGGTTCCACAGGCCATGACGATCCAGCTGAAGAGCCATCGACAGCAACATCGCCCCCAACAGGTACAACACCTGAGAGAGAGAAGACAAGAGAGTCACAGGAATGGTGCAGTGCTCCCCCTGCTGGTGCAGGGACATACTACAGGAAGGAGGGGTGCAGTGCTCCCCCTGCAGGGACATATTACAGGAAGGAGGGGTGCAGTGCTCCCCCTGCAGGGACATATTACAGGAAGGAGGGGTGCAGTGCTCCCCCTGCAGGGACATATTACAGGAAGGAGGGGTGCAGTGCTCCCCCTGCTGGTGCAGGGACATATTACAGGAAGGAGGGGTGCAGTGCTCCCCCTGCTGGTGCAGGGACATATTACAGGAAGGAGGGGTGCAGTGCTCCCCCTGCTGGTGCAGGGACATATTACAGGAAGGAGGGGTGCAGTGCTCCCCCTGCTGGTGCAGGGACATATTACAGGAAGGAGGGGTGCAGTGCTCCCCCTGCTGGTGCAGGGACATATTACAGGAAGGAGGGGTGCAGTGCTCCCCCTGCTGGTGCAGGGACATATTACAGGAAGGAGGGGTGCAGTGCTCCCCCTGCTGGTGCAGGGACATATTACAGGAAGGAGGGGTGCAGTGCTCCCCCTGCTGGTGCAGGGACATATTACAGGAAGGAGGGGTGCAGTGCTCCCCCTGCTGGTGCAGGGACATATTACAGGAAGGAGGGGTGCAGTGCTCCCCCTGCTGGTGCAGGGACATATTACAGGAAGGAGGGGTGCAGTGCTCCCCCTGCTGGTGCAGGGACATATTACAGGAAGGAGGGGTGCAGTGCTCCCCCTGCTGGTGCAGGGACATATTACAGGAAGGAGGGGTGCAGTGCTCCCCCTGCTGGTGCAGGGACATATTACAGGAAGGAGGGGTGCAGTGCTCCCCCTGCTGGTGCAGGGACATATTACAGGAAGGAGGGGTGCAGTGCTCCCCCTGCTGGTGCAGGGACATATTACAGGAAGGAGGGGTGCAGTGCTCCCCCTGCTGGTGCAGGGACATATTACAGGAAGGAGGGGTGCAGTGCTCCCCCTGCTGGTGCAGGGACATATTACAGGAAGGAGGGGTGCAGTGCTCCCCCTGCTGGTGCAGGGACATATTACAGGAAGGAGGGGTGCAGTGCTCCCCCTGCTGGTGCAGGGACATATTACAGGAAGGAGGGGTGCAGTGCTCCCCCTGCTGGTGCAGGGACATATTACAGGAAGGAGGGGTGCAGTGCTCCCCCTGCTGGTGCAGGGACATATTACAGGAAGGAGGGGTGCAGTGCTCCCCCTGCTGCTGCAGGGACATATTACAGGAAGGAGGGGTGCAGTGCTCCCCCTGCTGGTGCAGGGACATATTACAGGAAGGAGGGGTGCAGTGCTCCCCCTGCTGGTGCAGGGACATATTACAGGAAGGAGGGGTGCAGTGCTCCCCCTGCTGGTGCAGGGACATATTACAGGAAGGAGGGGTGCAGTGCTCCCCCTGCTGGTGCAGGGACATATTACAGGAAGGAGGGGTGCAGTGCTCCCCCTGCTGGTACAGGGACATACTACAGGAAAGAGGGGTGCAGTGCTGCCCCTGCAGGTACAGAGACATATTACAGGAAGGAGGGGTGCAGTGCTCCCCCTGCTGGTGCAGGGACATATTACAGGAAGGAGGGGTGCAGTGCTCCCCCTGCTGGTACAGGGACATACTACAGGAAAGAGGGGTGCAGTGCTGCCCCTGCAGGTACAGAGACATATTACAGGAAGGAGGGGTGCAGTGCTCCCCCTGCTGGTGTAGGGACATATTACAGGAAGGAGGGGTGCAGTACTCCCCCTGCAGGTACAGGGAGATATTACAGGAAGGAGGGGTGCAGTACTCCCCCTGCAGGTACAGGGAGATATTACAGGAAGGAGGGGTGCAGTACTCCCCCTGCAGGTACAGGGAGATATTACAGGAAGGAGGGGTGCAGTACTCCCCCTGCAGGTACAGGGAGATATTACAGGAAGGAGGGGTGCAGTACTCCCCCTGCAGGTACAGGGAGATATTACAGGAAGGAGGGGTGCAGTACTCCCCCTGCAGGTACAGGGAGATATTACAGGAAGGAGGGGTGCAGTACTCCCCCTGCAGGTACAGGGAGATATTACAGGAAGGAGGGGTGCAGTACTCCCCCTGCAGGTACAGGGAGATATTACAGGAAGGAGGGGTGCAGTACTCCCCCTGCAGGTACAGGGAGATATTACAGGAAGGAGGGGTGCAGTACTCCCCCTGCAGGTACAGGGAGATATTACAGGAAGGAGGGGTGCAGTACTCCCCCTGCAGGTACAGGGAGATATTACAGGAAGGAGGGGTGCAGTACTCCCCCTGCAGGTACAGGGAGATATTACAGGAAGGAGGGGTGCAGTACTCCCCCTGCAGGTACAGGGAGATATTACAGGAAGGAGGGGTGCAGTACTCCCCCTGCAGGTACAGGGAGATATTACAGGAAGGAGGGGTGCAGTACTCCCCCTGCAGGTACAGGGAGATATTACAGGAAGGAGGGGTGCAGTACTCCCCCTGCAGGTACAGGGAGATATTACAGGAAGGAGGGGTGCAGTACTCCCCCTGCAGGTACAGGGAGATATTACAGGAAGGAGGGGTGCAGTACTCCCCCTGCAGGTACAGGGAGATATTACAGGAAGGAGGGGTGCAGTGCTCCCCCTGCTGGTGCAGGGACATAATACAGGAAGGAGGGGTGCAGTGCTCCCCGTGCTGGTGCAGGGGCCTATTACAGGCAGGAGGGGTGCGGTGCTCCCTCTGCTGGTGCAGGGACATATAACAGGAAGGAGGGGTGCAGTGCTCCCCCTGCTGGTGTAGGGACATATTACAGGAAGGAGGGGGGCAGTGCTCCCCCTGCAGGTACAGGGAGATATTACAGGAAGGAGGGGGGCAGTGCTCCCCCTGCAGGTACAGGGAGATATTACAGGAAGGAGGGGGGCAGTGCTCCCCCTGCAGGTACAGGGAGATATTACAGGAAGGAGGGGGGCAGTGCTCCCCCTGCAGGTACAGGGAGATATTACAGGAAGGAGGGGGGCAGTGCTCCCCCTGCAGGTACAGGGAGATATTACAGGAAGGAGGGGGGCAGTGCTCCCCCTGCAGGTACAGGGAGATATTACAGGAAGGAGGGGGGCAGTGCTCCCCCTGCAGGTACAGGGAGATATTACAGGAAGGAGGGGGGCAGTGCTCCCCCTGCAGGTACAGGGAGATATTACAGGAAGGAGGGGGGCAGTGCTCCCCCTGCAGGTACAGGGAGATATTACAGGAAGGAGGGGGGCAGTGCTCCCCCTGCAGGTACAGGGAGATATTACAGGAAGGAGGGGGGCAGTGCTCCCCCTGCAGGTACAGGGAGATATTACAGGAAGGAGGGGGGCAGTGCTCCCCCTGCAGGTACAGGGAGATATTACAGGAAGGAGGGGGGCAGTGCTCCCCCTGCAGGTACAGGGAGATATTACAGGAAGGAGGGGGGCAGTGCTCCCCCTGCAGGTACAGGGAGATATTACAGGAAGGAGGGGGGCAGTGCTCCCCCTGCAGGTACAGGGAGATATTACAGGAAGGAGGGGGGCAGTGCTCCCCCTGCAGGTACAGGGAGATATTACAGGAAGGAGGGGGGCAGTGCTCCCCCTGCAGGTACAGGGAGATATTACAGGAAGGAGGGGGGCAGTGCTCCCCCTGCAGGTACAGGGAGATATTACAGGAAGGAGGGGGGCAGTGCTCCCCCTGCAGGTACAGGGAGATATTACAGGAAGGAGGGGGGCAGTGCTCCCCCTGCAGGTACAGGGAGATATTACAGGAAGGAGGGGGGCAGTGCTCCCCCTGCAGGTACAGGGAGATATTACAGGAAGGAGGGGGGCAGTGCTCCCCCTGCAGGTACAGGGAGATATTACAGGAAGGAGGGGGGCAGTGCTCCCCCTGCAGGTACAGGGAGATATTACAGGAAGGAGGGGGGCAGTGCTCCCCCTGCAGGTACAGGGAGATATTACAGGAAGGAGGGGGGCAGTGCTCCCCCTGCAGGTACAGGGAGATATTACAGGAAGGAGGGGGGCAGTGCTCCCCCTGCAGGTACAGGGAGATATTACAGGAAGGAGGGGGGCAGTGCTCCCCCTGCAGGTACAGGGAGATATTACAGGAAGGAGGGGGGCAGTGCTCCCCCTGCAGGTACAGGGAGATATTACAGGAAGGAGGGGGGCAGTGCTCCCCCTGCAGGTACAGGGAGATATTACAGGAAGGAGGGGGGCAGTGCTCCCCCTGCAGGTACAGGGAGATATTACAGGAAGGAGGGGGGCAGTGCTCCCCCTGCAGGTACAGGGAGATATTACAGGAAGGAGGGGGGCAGTGCTCCCCCTGCAGGTACAGGGAGATATTACAGGAAGGAGGGGGGCAGTGCTCCCCCTGCAGGTACAGGGAGATATTACAGGAAGGAGGGGGGCAGTGCTCCCCCTGCAGGTACAGGGAGATATTACAGGAAGGAGGGGGGCAGTGCTCCCCCTGCAGGTACAGGGAGATATTACAGGAAGGAGGGGGGCAGTGCTCCCCCTGCAGGTACAGGGAGATATTACAGGAAGGAGGGGGGCAGTGCTCCCCCTGCAGGTACAGGGAGATATTACAGGAAGGAGGGGGGCAGTGCTCCCCCTGCAGGTACAGGGAGATATTACAGGAAGGAGGGGGGCAGTGCTCCCCCTGCAGGTACAGGGAGATATTACAGGAAGGAGGGGGGCAGTGCTCCCCCTGCAGGTACAGGGAGATATTACAGGAAGGAGGGGGGCAGTGCTCCCCCTGCAGGTACAGGGAGATATTACAGGAAGGAGGGGGGCAGTGCTCCCCCTGCAGGTACAGGGAGATATTACAGGAAGGAGGGGGGCAGTGCTCCCCCTGCAGGTACAGGGAGATATTACAGGAAGGAGGGGGGCAGTGCTCCCCCTGCAGGTACAGGGAGATATTACAGGAAGGAGGGGGGCAGTGCTCCCCCTGCAGGTACAGGGAGATATTACAGGAAGGAGGGGGGCAGTGCTCCCCCTGCAGGTACAGGGAGATATTACAGGAAGGAGGGGGGCAGTGCTCCCCCTGCAGGTACAGGGAGATATTACAGGAAGGAGGGGGGCAGTGCTCCCCCTGCAGGTACAGGGAGATATTACAGGAAGGAGGGGGGCAGTGCTCCCCCTGCAGGTACAGGGAGATATTACAGGAAGGAGGGGGGCAGTGCTCCCCCTGCAGGTACAGGGAGATATTACAGGAAGGAGGGGGGCAGTGCTCCCCCTGCAGGTACAGGGAGATATTACAGGAAGGAGGGGGGCAGTGCTCCCCCTGCAGGTACAGGGAGATATTACAGGAAGGAGGGGGGCAGTGCTCCCCCTGCAGGTACAGGGAGATATTACAGGAAGGAGGGGGGCAGTGCTCCCCCTGCAGGTACAGGGAGATATTACAGGAAGGAGGGGGGCAGTGCTCCCCCTGCAGGTACAGGGAGATATTACAGGAAGGAGGGGGGCAGTGCTCCCCCTGCAGGTACAGGGAGATATTACAGGAAGGAGGGGGGCAGTGCTCCCCCTGCAGGTACAGGGAGATATTACAGGAAGGAGGGGGGCAGTGCTCCCCCTGCAGGTACAGGGAGATATTACAGGAAGGAGGGGGGCAGTGCTCCCCCTGCTGGTGCAGGGACATATTACAGGAAGGAGGGGTGTGCCCCCTATAGGAGTCCTCTTACCTGTTTGATGATTGGTTGAAGCCTGGCCATGCTGATCACCGTCACCCACACGGACATGAGGGAGCCGAGGAAATCACAGAACTGCAGCACGTCGTACTCCATGATACAGAAGACCACAATGCCGGGCTGGTCGCAGGCGTGATAGAACTGGCGGGAAGAGATCACATGGGGGTGACGCTCACAGACCTGCCCGACCTACCCGCCGAATATTCCCATGTGTACCGCCCTGAATGTAGATCTGTCTGAGAGGTCACATGTCACCCCG